CAGTCTATCTTATTGAGGGTCTTCCTCTTTTTCGCTGACCTGGTACTTTACCAAGCATAATGTCCTTCTCCAGGGACTGATCTCTCCTGACAACATCCCCAAAGTATGTAAGATGTAGTCTCGCCATCCTTGATTCTAAGGAGCATTCTGGTTGTACTTCTTCCAAGACAGATTTGTTCGTTCTTTTGGCAGTCTATGGTGTATTCAGTATTGTTTGCCAACACCTCAGTTCAGAGGCATCAATTCTTCTTCAGTCTTCCTTATTAATTGTCCAGCTTTCACATGCATATGAGGTGAATGAAAACACCGTGGCTTGGCTCAGGCACAGCTTAGTCCTCAAGGTGACATCTTTGCTTTTCAATACTTTAAAGAGGTCCTTTGCAGCAGATTTGCTCAGTGCAGTACATCTTTTGATTTCTTGACTGCTCCTCCCATGGATATTGATTGTGGATCCAAGTCAAATGAAATCCTTGACAACTTCAGTCTTTTCTCCGTTTATCATGATGTTGCTTATTGGTCCAGTTGTGAGGATTTTTGTTTTCTTTGTGTTGAGGTGTAATCCATACTGAAGGCTGTGGTCTTTGATCTTCATCAGTAGGGGCTTCAAGCCCTCTTCACTTTCAGCAAGCAAGGTTGTGTCGCCTGCATAACACAGGTTGTTAATGAGTCTTCCTCCAATCCTGTTGCCCTGTTCTTCTTCATATAGTCCAGCTTCTCAGATTATTTACTCAGCATACAGATTGAATAGGTATGGTGAAAGAATACAACCCTGACGCCCATCTTTCCTGACTTTAACCATGCAGTATCCTCTTGCTCTGTTTGAACAACTGCCTGTTGATCTATGTACAGGTTCCTCATGAGCACAATTAAGTGTTTTTCTCATTTTTCATGATGTTATCCATAATTGGTTATGATCCACACAGTCGAATGCCTTAGCATAATCAGTAAAACACAGGTGAACATCTTTCTAGTATTCTCTGCTTTCAGCCAGGATCCTTCTGACATCAGCAATGATATCCTTGGTTCCATGTCCTCTTCTGAATACGGCCCGAATTTCTGGCAGTTCCCTGTCGATATACTCCTGCAGCCACTTTTGAATGATCTTCAGCAAAATTTTACTTGGCGTGTGGTATTAATGATATTATTCGATAATTTCCATGTTTGTTTGGATCACCTTTCTTGGGAATAGGCATAAATATAGATCTTTTCCAGTCAGTTGGCCAAGTAGATGTCTTCCAAATTTCTTGGCATAGACAAGTGAGCACTTCTAGTGCTGCATCCATTTGTTGAAACATCTCAATTGATATTCCATCAATTCCTGGAGCCTTGTTTTTCGCCAGTGCCTTCAGTGCAGTGTGGACTTCTTCCTTCAGTACCTTCGGTTCCTGATCATATGCTACCTCTTGAAATGACTGAATGTCGACCAATTCTTTTTGGTATAGTGACTCTGTGTATTCCTTCCATCGTCTTTTAATGCTTCCTGTGTCATTTAATATTTTCCCCC